ATGTTCACATTCTCTTTACCAACGGCAACTAATAGTAACATCAGTGGTAACGTGAGGTTTGACGACCGTGTTCCATAGCCTGTGTCACGTGTGTTTGTCTTTGTGCATTGCATAACAACTGGGAGGTCCCATTATAATTAAATGGTGATTTTCGGGCCAGAATCAGTGCATTTCTGTTCGAAGAGAGGAATCAGTGACAAGATTTGCGTAGAGAATGCTTTTATGGGTGTAGGTGCATTTGGTTCAGTTTATTCAAACATTCCATAATCTCGATTAGAGGAACCATCGTGATTGATAAGCACCAGATACTGAACGTTCAGTTCGGTCGGAAATCTACTGTTTTAATTAGTACTTTAAAAGATGTGGTGTGCTGTGGGATGAGTGTGTGTGTGTGTGTGAGAGAGAGGGGGGATGATAAGCGAGTTCGCAAACTCTTCTGACGGGACAATGCTGTGCGGGACTGACCCTGTTGTTCATCACTGGACGCAGAAAAACAACAGGCCTGATCTTTGGCCGACTTGTTTGATGATGCAGACGGCTTTATTCTGACTGGTGGCGCGTTTCAGTTAATCCAATGCAGGCATCAAGTAAAAAAGACAGCTACTATTAATTTCTACCTCATCATTGGAAACGATATACCAATGGCCTTCCTCCGGTACCGCTGCCACCAGAGACAACTACGGTGTCACGGATGAGGAGGAAACCGACCACCTCGTACCGAAAAGTAATGGCATCACTCAGTGCACGAATACCATAGGACTAGACCAAATCAACTCACCTTAGGGACTGCGTCAAAGTTTGTTCCACAACTGACCAGATTGTTGGACAACATGGTGGTCGTTGTGGCGGCGGCGGCCGGACCGGTTCGATCAGATCGGACCACTTCGTCACTTAAACGGGTATCGAGAACCACAGACTGGCCGAAGTCTGATAGACAAGCCGATCCATCTGACCGAATCAGTACGTTCTCCGGTTTCACATCCCGATGTGCAATCGAAGGTCGATCTACTGTCGGATAATCGGCATGCAAGTAGCACAGACCGCGAACCATGTCACGCGCCAAATTTAGCACTAACTGTAACGGGTACCATTCCCCTCGATCTAACAAGTCCCGCAAACTACCTCGTGGAGCATATTCCAACACAAGACGATATTCGTTGTGTACCTTTCGGGGCCAATGGGAAGAAGTTAAGGTGGATAGCAATATGAAGGACTTGAAACGATGGTGGACAGTAAAAAAAGAGATAAATTTTACCAAAAGCCCAAAGTGTCGTATGCGACACTGGTTTCCGTTCACCACTTCTGTCTACAAGAACAACTTGGGGGAACCAAACGGAATCTAACACTGGAAAAATAATTTAACGGTATTACCCCATTATTTAGCTCTGGAGTACAATTTCCTGGTGGCTATCGTTGGAGGAGTTTAACTTCTAACAGATGTTCACATGCAAATGAGATTAGGCGTCACCGTAATCTACATAAATTTGGAGTCGGGCAAAGAAGAACGGCAACTCCATATTGATAGCTTACTAAGCGAGACAATGTCCACGNCCACGAGCCTCATTTGATCTTGGCCCTGTGTCAACACGAGGGAAACGATGAACCTGTACTGACGCATTCATTTTGGACGTCCAGGCCAAGACGTGCATAACGGTATACGGACTGCTCCGACCTAGGCTGTATCAGTTTTCTCGTTTACATTGAGATTGCATCGACCAACAAGCGATTTGGTTCGAATAGCTGGAAGACAATCATGGTCTGTCTTTATACACTCATACCAAATTTATTTCTACCTCAGTCTCACAGTGCGGATTGGTAGCCAAAATTGAAACCTCTCTTTATTCTTTCAAACAATCAGCCATTTATCAACCGCCGGATTGCGGGGAAAGTGAGCAGAGTCCAATAGCCACCACCACCAAGAAGATACCGGGAATGCACCGTTTTACTCTTAACGCCAGTTACCAATAGAATCTGATTAAACAGGCATCAGCAGACCAAGAGAAATTATTATATGTTATTCCACTCGGACGAACGATATAATCATCGCAAGACCGCAGGACTGAGCGTGGTGAACACAATGAGGAATGAAACTCACAATCACAAAGATCTACTGCTCAGACATAAAAACCACTAACCCAAGCCCTACGACTTGCGGTGTCAAACGACATATGTTCTCATTCGGATAGGCGTGACGTTGAGAGGAAAGATGGCGAAATAGCATACCACCAAATATCGGTGGAAACCGAAGTGTTCGAATCAAGAAGTACAGAGTTCGGAGTGCACCAGTGATTCCCTACGGTAAATGATCACCATCATCCAACTAACATCACTATCCTGTGATAAACTGACGAACTCAAGTAGCTATTCTCTGGACGACTAATGAAAATTTAAATGCGATAAAAATGTTTCTGATACCAGACAAAGAGCACTAGACAGCAGTTCCGTCCAGTTTAGGACTCGTCACGAGGAAGTATTGTGTGCTTCTTATCAGGACTCGATCCGAGAACGTGTGGGATGGGAATTCAAATCAGTAGCACTATATGACAACGTCGAGTATCATTGTCAACCGCGAAAAGCTCAAAAAATTTCAGAATAGGGAGCTTGCATTAGCCCATTCGATTGTTCAGAGGCACCAGGCACTCTCGATGTTCTTGGGTGTGGGGTTCACTCCTTGGGAGATCGTTCGAGTCCTCACAGGGACACAAAAGTACGCACTGCTGACGAGTCCCAAACAGGACGAAACAGCTGTCCAGTGCTCTTTGTTGGTAATCACAAACATTTCCATCACATGTGCGATTCATGTTAACCGACGAACGGGGCAATCAGATGCACATAGTGCATTCCTAGTGGACGAGAACAGGAGTAAATTGGACAATCATCGATGTTCGTGTGTATTGAGTGGTACATTTGTTCCGGAAAAAAAATTTCACAAGGATGTTGTATGCTTAAATTATGGTGAGCAAAAATGATGGGACGTACTTTTCCTGCACCAGACAGGCGAATCAAGTGGTAACAGGTATCAATTTCAGAAGCAGATCGGGTGATAGTGGACCGAAGAATTCTAAACACCGCGGCTTCGTTTGCCCAGGTTCGTTGTTCAGCGGCAGGGAAAATTTTCACGGCAACCAAACGGGATTGAGTGTCTGTAGAGTTGGGAGGAGACGAGCGACCATTTCTGCCGGGAATATGAAAACGGAAAACCAAAACATTATTAGTTTATGTGAAAATTCATTCTTACTTTGACATCGATATGACTTCTGACCGGTATTTGGGTATAGGGGAACATAAAAGTGTGACCCATAGTGAAAAACGTGAGTCCTAGAGTCATTTGATCATTTATGCTTCTCGTTGTTAAGGGCAGAGACCATGCTCAATGTGTACAAATGTGTTTAGATGGCAGAACTCTGTCAAAGTCGACAGACGATGATTTGGCATGTAAGGGAATCATTCAGTTCAAACGTGAGGAAGTTGTATTTCGAGAATAAAAGATGGAATAAATTTAATTGTGTGCGGAGTGAAAGAAATGTCAACCTAAGAATTGACGAGTACCGTGAACTTGGGGTAATGATGTTGCGTATCCACAGGTGTACGAATCCAGCCTCTCCACTGGGGAGATCAGAGAGGCAGAACACTAAAGATAGGTTAGACTATGTCACGTGTTATTCTGGTTTAAAAACTTAATCAGATACTCTGTGCACGAGATTCAGTGTTTCATTGCCATATCTTTCACATTTTAAACGTTTAAACTAAGTCTGCTTTTCTATTGTGCTGCGAAACGGAGAGGAAAAGGATATCACGACAAGCATTGAGCTTTCTCTGGAACAGCTTTACGCGCCACAACAACAACTGACAACAAGTTGCAGTATCAGTTTTTACAACCATTAACCATGCACTTTCGTGATCCGGTTTTGGTTGCTGTCTTTTAGCCACCTATTTGGATAAAAGAGCTGAATGAAGATTGGAATGTTCAGAGCAAATTTAAGTGGAAGATAGAGAATTTATGTAGACTGAGGTTGCGAGGATGCATGAGAGCCACTGTTTGCAACACCCAGCCATATTGCTCAGTGTTTCTGACCATAAAGACCATAATCTCGAGGTCCGCATCCACGGAGCCTAACGAAACCTACGCATCCCAGTCTCCTGGTCGGGATTTCCAGACACTCACGCCAGGTCTTAGCTTGACCGCCCTTGAACTTTTTCGGTTTTATATTGGATTTTATCGCGAAAAAAGTATACCACGGATTATGACAAAGGTATTCAGTAGACCATTCGCTCGGGAATCGGAGCACAGGATTGTAAGTTATTCTGATGGAGGCAAATAAAAAATTATTTGCCGACTTACAATTTTGTAACCAAGTTGAATTGAACCTTGGGTAACATTCACGCCAGCACGGGATCAATCATTGTTCCCAATTTCGTTTACAATATTTCTGTTTCGACTGGTTCGTGTACGGCACGTTCTGTTCGTTTACTTGCGTCATGCCATGACAAATTTGCAATCCGATGCAGACATTTGAGTTCTACTGGCTTTCGAAATCAATCTGGAAATCTGGGAGGGAGATGTCATTGCGGGAAGATTATTTAAACTACCCCCTCCCCAATTCGGACTACCGCTTTAAAATTAGAACCAAAGAAACTGAATGACTCCCAATTGTCACTGAGTTATCAGTTCATCTGCGTGAAACCGGCCGGGTAGCAATATTGTTGAAAGAGAAGTGAGCAGTTACAAACATAGTCAGCAAGAAGACCATCGTATTACCGGATAGTTCGAACCAGAGCAAAAGGGTACATGGGGGATATCAACCCAAACCTTTTGCAGAATTGTGTAGCCCACGAGGCAGTACGGAGTAGCTTTCGG